TGTCTTTCTGTTTTAGTCTGTGGATGAGCAGATCCTGGAGAAACCTGTTGATAAGCAAGATGCCTATAGGATGCTGTCAAGGTCTGTAGTTTTAACTAAGATTCCAAATGTGTATATTAAACTGTTTTCAAAGGAACTGTACTGATTCCTTGATGTATATGAGAATCTCCATGGACCAGATTTTTCAGTCATTTTTAAACAGAGTAAACCAGTTCTTCCACTGAAAAAGTTAGACCTGCTTTTATGTTACCTGTGGCTGCTTGCTCTTGCCCCTTCACCTTAGGAAGCTGATCAGAGACATAATGAACTGTTTTGTTTTCACTTGGATTGATTTTCAGAATCACTTACCACAAGACTATGTGTGCTTCAGCTGGTACAGGATGGGGAGACTGGGAGAAAAATCACAGTGGGAAGGAGGACAGAACCATCATAGCAGTGGTTTGAGGCTTGAGATTTAATGGAATAATCATATGATATCTTGGGTTGGAAGGGACCTTAAAGATCATCTAGTTCCAACCCCCCTGACATGGGCAGGGACACCTTTCACCAGACCAGGTTGCTCAGAGTTCCATCCAGCCTGGCTTTGAACACTTCCAGATAGGGGGCAGCCACAATTTCCCTGGGCAACCTGTTCCAGTTCCTCACCACCCTCATAGCATAGAACTTCCACCTAATATCTAATCTACACCTACTCTCTTTTAGTTTGAATCTACTCCCTCTTGTCCTGTCACTGCAGGCTCTAGTAAAAAGTCCCTCTCCATCTTTCTTATATTCTCCCTTCGGGTACTAGAAGGCTGCAATTAGTATTGCAGTTATGAGAAGGTACAGGATCATATGAGTTCAGGGACACTTGCTTTAAACTGTGTAGTTTAACTGAGGAGGAAAAATCTACTTCCATCAGTGTTCTCCATAGTTGGTAGGCTGGTGGGGTTTTTTTGATGTTTCTGCACTTTTCCTACTACAAGTTTAATGTCGTATTATAGCACCTTTTTTTTAAAGGAAAAAAAAACACTAACTAAGTAGCTCTAGTCACCTCCTTTCTGAAGGATGAGATGTGAGGAATCCTCACATCGTGCTTCTGTTTTACTGGTGAGTAGAGGATATGAAAAGGTGCACTGCTTGTTTAATCAGTTTACATTATAACTCAGACATCTAAAAAGTGAATATAAGCGGCTTGCTGGTTTTTTGAGTTTTGTTGTGTAAGTGTATATAGATTTTTTTAAAAAATTTTTTTTCATTGTTGAATATTTGATCCTTTGTTGCAGGTTACAAACTTAAAAGTAGTTTTTTAAAACAGGGAAGGGCTAGGAGCCCGTGTCATTAGTAGGAGATTGACAAAGGAGTCTTGTCTGGCAAGAGATTTTTCACAACTGTTTTTGCTTGAAATTATGCCATGTCTAGGTAGTTCAAAAATTTTTTGTTTGGTTTTTTTGGCTTGTTTGTTTGGTTTTTTTTTTTTTTGGGGGGGGGTGTTGTTTGTTTGTT